GAAGTACCGCTGATGGTGCACATTATATTATCAGCATCTTCTTACAAATTGTGTACATATAACCACTGTGTATCTTTAGTCCTGCTTGATCCTGTAATAGTTGATATAAAATATACTACAACCATGTCTATTTATGAATAGTTAATTGTCCCTAAAACTAAGCATATTATATAATACATTTTTCAAGTTTATTAAGTGATTAGAACAGATAAGTATATTAATAAGCAAAAAATCAATAAAGATAGCTGCTTAGGCAAAAAAAATGTGTTCTTAACAGATTTACACATTCCTCTATATCCACATCATTACCAACATTCACATCAACATACACTCTTGATATTTATATTTTCTGTAAGACTAACAAACCATGAGAAAGACAAAAATTGCATGTTTTTCAAAATTTCAAAGAAATACTTAATCTGAGTTTTTTTCAAGTCTTCACAGTAGACTCAGATTTTATAAAAGGTGTTTTTTCCTACTTCAAACCATTCACCCAATCCCTTCTGACAATGAGCTTCCCACATCCCCGCAAATAATAGTCATTCTTGGGCTAAGAGGTATCTGGAAAAAAAAAAAAAAAAACACTTAGAAACATTATCAAATGTCTAAAAGAGAAGACAGTAAAAAATTAACTTACACACATAATACTAAGATCCAAAATTAGTACTTGAGACCTATATAAATTATTGATCTATTAATAGTCATTTATTAGTAGCAATAACATGGTTGATAAATGAATTCACGATGCCTGGACATGAATTCAATTGAAAAGAATGATGTTCAAATCATTTATATTATGAATGTGTGTGTATATAGCATATTATATATGTATGTATATATTATGTATATACTATGTACAGATGTACATGTGTGTATGGTGGTTTGAATGAAAAACGTCCCCCATAGTCTAGATATTTGAACACTTGGTCCCCAGTTGGTGGTGCTGTTTGGGCAGGAGGGCTAGCAGTACAACTTTGCAGGAGGAAGTGTGTCACAGGGGGCACACTCCAAGATACGAGCTCTTAGCTTTTTGTCCTGGCCTTTATCTGCCACTTGTCACCCATCCCCATCGAGATGGATCCCATCTCTCTAGAACTATGAACTAAAATAAATCTCTCTTCTTCTGTAAGTTATGGTGTTTTACCACAGCAACGGCAAAGGAACAAGCACAGCACAGGTGTCTGACATTTTGAAATAGAGAACTCGATGCTGAAGAGATGAGTCAGTGGGTAAGAACTCTTTCTCTGAATGCATGAGGACTTGAGTTTGAATCCCAGCATAAAAACCCTACACCAAGGGCTAGGATGGTTGCTCACGCTTCTACACTACAGCTGAGATGCAGAGAGCAGATTCCAAGGCTCACAAGACAGCCAGCCCCGCCAAAACCCCAAGTTTAGGGTTCACTGAGACACCTTGTTTCAAGTCAACAAGGTGAAGAATGATAGATAAAGACACTCTGAAGTTCTTTATGGTCTCTGAATGAATTTGTACCCATATGTTTGCATGCATATATTACATACATGTAGTTTATACACTCGTACAAAGGGAAGAACACTAATAAATACATAAATATATATTTCAAGACTTGCAAAAAGATAATGGTGTTTTGCTTAAATTTAAGTATCAATAAGTTTTAGCTGAGCCTAAGAACTAAAGCCTATAAGCTAAGCAATCTAGAGGTAAGAAAGCATCATTACAAGACAGAGGCCAGCCTGGATGATAGAAAAAAAGACTCAGTCAAAAAGACAACAAAGACAAAGAAAGAGAAAGAAAAGAAGTACTCATCTTTTCATTGGAACATAGATGTAACTCAATTAATTGTTATTATTAAAAAAATATTCATAGGCAATGTCACTATACAGCAAGATTTTTTTAAACAAATCAAAAATAGAGAACTCGATGCTGAGATGGGTCAGTGGTTAAGAACTCTTTCTCTGAATGCATGAGGACTTGAGTTTGAATCCCAGCATAAAACCCAACACCAAGGGCTAGGATGGTTGCTCACGCTTCTACACTACAGCTGAGATGCAGAGACCTTAAAACACTTTAAGACATGTTTTCAGATTTGAAGGCATAGAAAGTAGTTTGAAAAGAGAGAAGGAGAAAGAAAAATATCCCACTGTCCCTCAGTCATCTTCTCGGTGGTTAAAGAGTATTCAATAACTCCAAAACCCTTTTTATATGCACACCTGGGAAGAATACCAAATCTGTAAATTTGCTCAGAGTTACACTGATGTGGTTTTAAACCGTATGTTTAAATGTTACAGTATGTATATTTTCTCCTCTCTTCTAAGACAGGAGAGTAAAGTAAGAGGAATATTTGACTTCACTCCACAAGAGACCTATTTAATAGTTTGGCAGTTGTATAAGTAAAGGTAGCTTGGCTAAGTCAATGTTGACGACATACAGAATGACATGATCCTAATGAGTTGGAAAATATTGGCTCTCAAGAGAAAAGACCAGATGCTACTGAGCTGAGAAAGCTACTGTATTATTGAATTTCATTTTTATGAGGTAAAATTTATTATCCAACCATTAAGGTATCCCATATGAAATCTTGCATAAAATACTTTTACAGTTACTTTCTGGAAAGTAGATTTCTATTTTAACATTAAGACATCAGTTAGACGAGGGATTCAACTATCCACTTCATCATTATTTTACACCTTTTTAAATCTATAAATTATTTCCCTGAAAATATCAGATCAATGGAACTAAGTCAACAAAATAATGAATGATCTGACTAGAAAGTAGAAACTATGGTTTTCCAGAGCAAATCAAATTCAGATGTAACTTTGTATTTTATCTTCTGGAAAAACAACAAGAGTTATTAGTTCTGTTTTGGTGACTATCAGAAATATTAACAATAAAGCTACAAAAAATGATTACATATAATAATACAAATTATGTCCAAACTTTACAACTCTAATAATATATTCTTTTAATTTACATCTTAAATGAAGTACAAGTATTCAACAGACTTCCATTAAATAATTTCAAATGTGTTACCAGATGTTAATCTTTACAAGTTATTTAAGGTCTCAAACACCAGGAAAATAATTTGAAACAATAAAAATAATAATAGAAACATTCAAAGATCTTACTTCAAAAACTTAGTGAATAGTTATAATATAATATTTCAGAGGGAAAAAAAGCATATCACATTGACCATAAATTTTCCCATGTGTAGAACAGAATCTATACCCTGCCAACAACATCACTGGTAAGAAGACAACATAATTAATGTATAAGGAGGCAGTAAGATAAATAGTAAAGCAAGCAAGACCTCCAGAGGGAATATCACTTGAAATAGAAATATGAAAAATAAGATAATTTTAATTATAATATTACTTTCATAAACAGCCTCAGACAACCTCAGAATTCACTAATTGATTATCTAATACCAAATACCCTGAAAACATACATAAAAATAACATTATACAGACTAAGCAGGTTAGGAATATGTTTGTATAGACACATACCGATATCCATATAACAACAACTAATGAAAAATTTGAGAAAGAATAAGGAGGGGTATATGGAAGAGTTGGGAGGGAGAAAGGGGAAGGGAGAAATGATATAATTGTATTATAATCTCAAAAGTAAAAAAAATAAGTTTTTAAATGGCCTTGCAATAGAGTGAGCTTACCTAGACATGGAGACTCAGTGAGAATACGAATATGGTATCAATGTATCCTACAAGGGAATACATTAAACATGTAGTTCAACCCCTTCTGTGAGGTACTGAGTGGGCAGAAAATCAGGCCAGGAAGCTGAAATGCAGGCCCTGGTTGATGTGAACAGAAATGACAAAACCATCAAAGTAGGCCCCCATGTCAGTGGCCAAAAAAAGAAGAGAGAGGTTGAAATGCCTTCACACTTGTAACCCCAGCACTCAGGAGGCAATGGAAGTAGGATCCCAAGTGTGAGGCCAGCTTAGGAAGAGAGAACAAAAGACAACTGGCAGACAAATATCCTCCTATAGACTGCCATGTGATGTCATCCACACCAAGTGAGGCCCCTATTCCCAATCCTCACAGAAAGAACTCTAACTAGAAACGCCTTTATACAAGAAAGCTTCCGAAACTTCCTCTAAAATAGATCACATTTAGGCTAGAAGAGCAAATGTTGACCAACATAAAAATATTAAACTTCATGACCTTTATTGTATCATAATTACATAAAATTATGAATAAATAGCAAAGAAACTATAAAAACAACATGGAAATTGAAATTTTGATTTGCAATGACAAGTATGTCACTGAAGATGACAGATAAATATATATATATATAGAGAGAGAGAGAGAAAGAGAGTCATTCATATATATAATCTCATTTAAGTATAGTCATTCGTATATATATAAGAATATATTCATAAGAATATATATAAGAATATATTCATATATATATATATATACGAATGACTATACTTAAATAAGAAATAACTAAATAGCATACACATGTAACTAAGGTCTTAGCAACACAAAAACAGGTCAAACCCAAACTCAGAAGTTGGAAAGAAATAATAAATGTCGAAAATTAATTTAAATAGAGGATATTTTAAAAATAATCAGTGAAGCAAAGAAGTGGCACTTTAAAATGATATGCAGGGCTTGCAAACCTTTAGCCAAACAAACTGAAACAGAGAAGACAAATATTAGTGAGGGAAAAGGGTGCATGACAACAAATACAGATGGGAGGTAAAGGATCTTTAAAAATCTCCTATTTCAATAAACCAGAAACTCCAAAAGAAATGGATCAATCCCTAGACAGACATGACCTAGGAATCATCAGAGACACCAGGGCATCCATGTGTGCTGCTTTACTTACAACTGCAGTTTAAGAAACCAGTCAAGATGCCCACGAAATGATAATTGGCTTGAGAAAATGTGGTATGTCAGTCAAATTAGTATTTACTTTATAGAAATATACCACAAGTTGAGCATGCTCGACACAGGAATTTAAATATCAGTCACCTCTGAGGAAAACTGTGCTTTTACCTGCAGTTTGGAAGACTTCATTCATCAAAGCCTCATTCACTGCTGAAGAGCTGCTATTTCCAATATGAGCCCAACTCTGATATATTGCTTGCAGCAAAAGTGTCTGTGCTCTTGTCGCTTGAATTGTGAGATTTGGCAGTTCAAAAATACCTTCAGTTACAACAGTCTGAGACCTTTTGGTCCTATACATGAAATAAGAAAGAAAACAATACAAATAAATAAGTGAATAGCATTTACATAGAATATAGTAGAGAAATTAGGTTACATTGAAATTGTGTATGCTGTGCATGTGTATACATATATGTGTAATGCTCATGTATATGCTCATGTATGTTTATACATGTGTACATGTATGTAGACAGAGAAGCCAGAAGCCAATATCAGGTCTTCCTCAATCATTCTACACATTTTCTGAGACAGCCTCTCACTGAACCTGGGACTCCCCACTTTGGCTAGACAGGTGGAGTCCTCCTATCACAGCCCCCACCCTGCCTCCACTGCCATCAGGGAAGCTGGACAGACAAACATTCTATCACTACAAACACTAGTAAAGAATACAAACAACTGGGTCATCTACAACGTGAAAAATGTATCAAGACCTAAGACAATGTACTTTCATCGCAACAGAGTGCTGGGCAGGGGAATACAGCAAAAGCCATGCTCCTAGAAGAACCCCTACTGTAATATGAGCTATACAGTTATTACAGAGTGGATACTTGGTACAAGTGGGACTTCAGTATCTCAGAATAAAGATACTTTATACAATACTTTAACTTTCAAACCATCTGATGTCATGTAAAATGGTTCCTAATGGACTACACAGATTTGAATAAAAATGTAAACATATGCAAATACAAAAACAATTTAATTATTCTACATTTATTATTTCCCAAGACTGAAGAGTAACTCTTTTCTTCAGATTTATTATTAAAAAAAACATACATTACACAAGTCATTTTTCTATACAAACAAGGTAATTTTGTCATACATATCAACTACAAACACAAGTATAGTTTACTACACTCCTTTTAAATTAATATTTAAACTAAAACAAAAAAAATGATTTGGCAACACATAGTAGCTGATACAATGTACCAACTATTGTTGATATAACAATATCAATAGGAAAGTTTTTTCTCTTTCTTTTGTTGTTTAATTATATTTCACAGGTTAGCCAAGCTAGGCAAAGTAACAAAGGTCTGTGTTTCTCATTACCCAGTTCACCAAATCGTCATGTTATACTATCTTTGCTTCAGAAAATATTTAGAGATCAATAGATTTTACAACTTACAGCTACTTGGGGACTCTTTAATATGTCAATGCAAATATACAATAAAAGTGTGACTTTTCCTTTGATTTATACCACTACACATTTATTTAAACAAAGCAGCTCAATATAAAATCATACAAAAGCATCTAACAAGTTCTGGACTCCTCTTAAAATATCACTAAGCTGCATTTTAACAGTTATATTGGTTAATATAAAGTCATAAATTTGGCAAATGTCTAAGGTTCATATTCAGAAATCATGGTATAAATATGTGTTCACTTTACATAATAGATTTTTAAACTATCAATTCAAACATCACTCTCTAGGGGAAATAAACCCTAGAATAACTAGTGGGATAAACAACTCATTAAAACTCGACTTGGACAAACTCCAGAATAAACTGAAGGAAATAGAAACAAGTAGGTCTTAATTGCATAGTAGCAAATACTTTAAATGAATATACCCTAATTACAATTTAAAAGACTGTGATCTGTCATTTCCTGGCAAATTATAATAATATAGAGGCAATCAAATTTCTGTGCCAATGTAATTTCTATTTTTAAAAATTCTTGCTTTCAATACATAACAAGAAAATTCAAAAGTGTGGTTCCTACTACTACTGGATACAAAGAAACCGTAAGAAGTCTTCCACATGCACCCTTCAGGCACAATCAGCCATTCATTCTCTTTAGGACACACTCCATAGCCATTGAAAAAATATTATCAGCAACAGCCTGACATAAAGATTCCTACAGAGATCCCAAATGCAAAGTTTGAAAACACAGATTGGTTCCCAAAACTTACTTTTATTATTGCTCACATCCTGTACAATAAAATAAGATTAGGTCATTATTTTCCAAAATTAAGTTAATACAAAATCTTACTAACTTATGAGACTAGGTAAAACATGGAAAATTGTGGAATTTTCTTTCTTACAGAACAGTTACTGAACTGACATTAACATTTCATACTCAAAATATAATCTTTTAAGTTCTTTCTAAAGCTCAAATGATAAGCTAAATGAAAGTTGTATACTCTCTACTCCCAGTCTACTTCCCTATCCCATATAACCACTTTCTAAAAATGAACATGCACAGACTTCTGTGCGCCCATTGTGTGCACTGCAATGACAAAAGTTAGTTTGGAAATGGATGGGCATGTGCTGGCCTGCTTCCTCCAACTAAACTCCATCAGAGTTAGAATACATGTCCTTCTCTGTGCTCTCTCAATGTGGCGTAGAGCTACACTGCAAGGTCAAGGTCCCAGGCAGAGCTTCTGAGCACCCTGTAGCCAACATCACCAGTGGCTAGCTAAGGACACTGTGTACACTACACCCTGTAGCCAACATCACCAGTGGCTAGCTAAGGACACTGTGTACACTACACCCTGTAGCCAACATCACCAGCTAAGGACACTGTGGACACTACACCCTGTAGCCAACATCACCAGCTAAGGACACTGTGGACACTATACC